GGGAACAGCTGCGATCTCACCGCCGGTCGAGATGCCCTTTGAAAGACTGGAGGTATGGGTGTAGGGTTCGGAGCAGGTTCATATAGGGATATTACAGTGGACATATTGGGACATCATTCTAGGACATGTCTATGGTCAACTTGGAACCTTACTTAAAAAATCTTTGCTCTTCCTTAGGACTACCATAAGCAACACATATTTCCAAGTACCCCTACGATGTTGGGAACCAGAAATTAGGTGTACAATTGTGCGGGTCTCGTACCATTTTTTTTGGGGCGGGGGGTCCCATTATGACGAAGGTGTGATTTTCCGTCTAAACCCTAATACCTAAACCCTAACTAACCCCAAATCCTACACCCTAGACCTACTAGATGCTACGCACTGAGCCCCGAACCCTAGACCCTGAACCCAAAAACCCTAGACCGCAAACACTACTCTGCCCAAAGCCCTGCACCCTCAAACCTCAAACGCTAAACCCGCCACCCTGTAGGGTTCGGGGTGTAGGTTTAAGAGGCCGAAAGGCTATAGGGTTTTGAGAATGCGGGTTTTGAGGGTCATAACGTTTTGGGATGTAGGATTTGGAGGGTTACAAGGTTTGGGGATTGAGGGTTTTACGGTTGTAGGGCTTCGCGATTTAGGGTTTGAGGCTCACAGGTTTGGGGATGTAGGGTTTGAGGGTTCACAGTTCCAAGGTTTCGACGTGTGCGGTTTGAGGGTGATAAGGTTTCTGGGAATTTGTTTTTGGTGCGGGGCCGGGAACCCGCAGCTCCAAATCAGAGTGTGCAGGGTGGAGTGGGGTGGGCAAGATTCGCGGGTTGATGGTTTAGGGATTTAAGGGTTTAGGGTCTAGGGTTTAGGGGTTTGAGGTTTGAGCGCGTAAAGATGTTTGGGGTTTCGTGCTATGCGGCTTACGTGCAGGGGGTTTTCAGTTTTAACGGCCTATCGGGTTTGGGTTTGAAGGTTTTAGGTTCAGGCTTTGGGTTTTGAAGTATGCGATTTAGATTTTGGGGTGCGAGATTCGAAGTGTTTGGAATAAAAAGGTGCAGGCTTATTGTCTAAGACTGGCACAGCGTAACAAAGGCTTTGGGCCCCCTAAACCCTAAGCCCCAGTCAACAATTGGGTACTTGGGATTTTGATAATAGTAATTATTGTACGGGTTTTGGGTAAGTATATGATTATGAAGTACTTGGACCCTTACAGTCTGGTATGGACAGGCGACAATGATTAGCTACCAGGGCTAACGGAGGTGACTTAAGGGTGGCGCATACATGGTTCAGGGTTTAGGCTTTAGGACTTGGGAGTAAAAACGGTTTAGGATTTAGGGTTGAGGGTTTAGGGTACATAACAGCTGCGTAGTGGTTCTGAGTTTTTCTACCCTAAACCCTAAGCCCTGAACCCTAAATCCTAAACCCTACTGGGCTTTGCGGGTCCTGAACAATGCGGAGCAACACCAGCAGCACGAGACCAACCACTCCTGCAACTTCTCCGTCCCTTGGGAATCGTGCCACTGGTGCTTAAGAGGTTTAGGGTTTTGGGTTTGGGGGGGTGAACACAGATACCATCATAGGAGTGTATTTGGGGATTGCATAAGGATCATTATACGGATCCGCTCCCTAAACCCTAAATCCTCAACCCTAGCATAGGATCCACGCCTCCACTCTCCCTTAAGCACCTGCAAGTTGAGCTTCAACCCTGCAAAGGGTCCCGGTATCTTAATACCATCTACTCAGCGCTGAGTTTAGGGTTCAAGGTTTAATTGCAAAAGAAACCTCTTTGGGCCGAAGTGTATGCTATAGGCTATAGAGGCATCTGTACTCTTTGGGACAGGCTACCTCCGCAAAGTCACATATCTCAATGCCCCAAGCTTGGCAATCCCTAAACCATAAAACCTAAAACCCGATCCCTAAACCCTAAACCCTAAAACCCTAAAAACCAATCCCTAAACCCTAAATGAGACTCAGGTTCGGTGCAGCATTTAGCGGGGTAGGCTTTGTTCGTTCGCCGGTATTTGGAGTGGGTTAGCATGACCGGTTCAAATGCTGTCCACTATGTAGTATAATCATACACTTAGGGAGCCTTATCGAAGTGATAGGTATTTGGGAGTATGGTTATCATATGCTTGGAATCCGTTAGGACCTGGACGAGGTCTGGTCCTTGGATGCAACGTGCCCCTTAAGTAAAACTATTATTCGAGACTGGGGTTTAGCCCTAAACCATAAACCCTAAACCATTGGGGTTCTGAAACCTTTGCTCATGAAACCCTCGCCCGTAAAACGCCTCAACCACAACGCACACCCTACACTAACGGCCAATAGAGTAGTGATTTTTTGGTGGTTGAACCTAGTAAGATATTATTCCTTATATTAAATACTATACCCCCAAAAGGAGGATATAATCTTACTCGATAATGGGTACCATAGTATCCCCAAATAAAATACTACTCAACAATACCCCTGACGTACTAGGCCGGGAGATGCCGACCATGGCTTTGCTAAAGGACTGTTGGCGTATGTATGGGGACCAACCCACCCTCACACCCTAACCCTAAACCCCTAAAGGGTAACCGGGTAACCGTAAACCCCGAAAGGGTAACCGGGGTAACCCCTTTGAAGATCCAGCTGGGATCCTAAATAAGGCTGTCGCCTGCCTATGCAAAAACATATGAGGCGGGGTCACAATGGGCGTACCCCTATAAACCCCGGGGATATTTAGGGTTCAGGGTGTAGAGTTTAGGGTCGGATGTTTGGGTGTCTTGAAGACATTGTACTGGTCCCCCTTCAGGATTATCTACGATTTTGAGGAACTCCCACATGTAGCCCTAGTAGCCCGAAACCCGCATCGCAGCTTTTGGGTGTAGGGTGTGGTTTATGCTTTAGGTTGTGGGATGCAAGTGTTTCTAGAGACTTTGGGACGTCAATCCAGCATATCGGTAGCTGGGAAGCAGGTCCCCTGCGAACCTTCATACGCCCACAAGACCCATAACACTTAGCGTACCTGACGTATTGGAGCCCGACTGAGAATATTGTTCGCAACATGACGGGAAGCAATGGGGACATGTGTTCCATTTGGAACCTAGAGAAGAAACCGCCTTGTATGACGGCCACTCTTACAAACACTCAAGCATTTTCGGGCAATTCGCAGTCGCGCTGCGATGCCAGACAATGTGACCCCCATCAGGAGACTGTAGTCCCCCTTATCTAGATAGAATGTGGCCTCGGGTGCAATATAATAAGATCCCCATATACCCCATATTCTATCTACTTTAAGGGGGGCTAAAATCTCATGTGAGCTACAGTCAACATTGGGGGGAGCCTGGGTAGCCTAGGGAGGAGGTAGTATAAAAGGAGTAAAATGGGAACCGCAAGCGTAGTGGGAATTTACTAGGGATGTCCCTACCAGGGTCCGTATATGCTATGGTCGAAACTCCAAGTATCCGCCTTAACACCCCGTGTAAGACTCGCCTATAGAATCCCCTAGATAACCCCTTTTATGGCGTTTAGACTATAGTTCATATTCCTGCTTTATTCCTGCTATACCCTAAACCCTAAACCGCGTTGTACTCCTGGGGTGTCCTGTTTGGGGTTCCCATTTATTCCTTTTGTAGTCTGGGCGGGTGGTCGCAACGAACAGGCCACTCTATGCACCCGGTTTCCACTTTTGTTTCCCTTTTTCTTTTTACCCTAACCCCCAAACCCTATAACCCCTAAGCCGTAATCCCTCAACCCTGAAACCCTAATCCCTAAACCTGCCGAGGTTCCGGAAAGTGGGAAGAAGACCCTGACAGACAGTGCCAACAAGCATACCAAAGATAGACACAAACGTTGAAAACTTCCTGAGCTGCGCGGTTTAGAGGGTTTAGGGTTGAGGGTGTTTAGGGTTTACCTAAACCCCAAAAGTAGGCAAAATCATAGCCCAATACCCTTAAGAATAGCCTAAAGGCCATTGTTTTACATACCTCTGGGGTTTAGGTAGGGTTTAGGGTGAATTTTGCTGTGATCTCAATTGAGCCCTTGCAGGTGGTTCTTCTAATAAAGTACTATTGCTGCGACGACAACCACATGGGGAGTAAAGTCTTCTTTGTAGTATATATCTTATCCGTAGTGTATAACAACGGAAAATACAAAAAAGTAGGGCGCATGATATGGAGAGAGCTGTTGTTTAACGAGTCCCTGGACGAAAAATAGTTAAACTTCGGGGTTTACGGTTTAGGGCGTCGTATAAATTGTTCTACATGCGTTTGGAGTTCAAGCAAGGCCAGCAAGGGCGCAAATCCAATAAGAGCTGTAGTCTAAAGGTATCCCCGTTAGTAACCCTATAATCCTCCCCTATATAATCTCCTAAACCCTAAACCCTAAACCCTGAACCCTAAACCCTAATCTCCTATAGAACGCCCTTTCAGGAGTTTAGACTATAGCTCATAAGGTGAAAGGAGAATGCGACTACGGAATATCGGGTCTAGGGTTGAGGTTTCGGGCTTTGGGGCCAATATCCATTACTTAGGGAATCTACCCTAACTGACCTTAGGATCCCCAATACGATTTAGGGTATATTCTCTAATTATGCGATATTTTTTTCACAAACCCTAAACCCTAAACCCCTAAACCCTTCTGGGTTATAAGGCTGTAGAGCCTACAGTTCTGATTGTCCAGCATCCAGGGTTCTAGGGTTAAGGCTTTCGGGTGATCGTGCATGACACCGCGTACTTAAAATTCCTGGGAATTGTGGTGGTTTGGGGTTTAGGGTTTAGGGTTTAGGATTTAGGGTTTAGGATTTATGGTTTTTGTTTTTTCTCGGACCTTTTTCCACCCGTCGATCAGGCAGAAACGCTTTACAGCGAGATCCCATGGGCACTACCAGGGCGAACTTCACGCAGCCCAGCAGCACTTCCCACAGAATCCAAACCGGCTTCCCACAAAAAGGACGGCCGACCTCAACTACCCCTGCCCTCTCAGAATGCCCTGCGGGAAGAGATGCAGCACCCGGAGAATCAAGCTGAAGGTTACGAAGTACTGGCCGCCCCAGCCACCTCACCATTTGCGGCCTCATCCTGTGCCGGCGCTGGTCCAGCGAAGGCCACCTCATCTGACAGCGATGACGCCCCTTGCCCCGCACCAACTTCCTCCATGCTGTCAACCTGCGCGTTGTTCTCTAGGCCGGTCTCCTCCGCAGTGTGCTCCATCAACGTCTCCGCAAGGCCATTCGCATCAGCGTGCTGCTCCGTCTGAGAGTCAGCTTGTTGGGTGACTCGCATAGCGACCATGTTGGCAGCCAACTCCGCCTGGAACTTGAGCAAGCCATCGACGCCCCACCTCGCTTCCACCTCAGCGTCCTTGACCTGCCCCGCCTTCCACAGGACGAACCAACTTTTCCAGAGTCTATCCGGACGCCAATGCAACGACTCTGGGAACTCCTCCGCCGCCATCTCCAGAATGTCCTCGTCTTGGCTTTCTTGCAGGATCTGCCTCTCAACTTCCTCACCCTCATGCTCCTGTTCATTTGCCTCGTTGTCCGCCGCCTCGTCCGGAAGGAGCTCCATTTGGGCCCTGACGGTCTCCCCAGCACTCACCACCACAGACTGGTCGCGGCTGAGAAGGATGTTCCCATGCTTCCCCACCAGGTTGATTCGCACACCCACCTTCTTCAGCCGACCTGGTTGTTGAAGGGCTCGTCGCATGATCTCGTCCTCCTCATCCTGTGTGATTGCAGCCAGGTGTTGCTGCCAACGTGCTTCGTCATCCTCAGCTTCCCTGGCCTCCTCCTCCCGCATTGCCTGCTCATGCTGCTCGACCTCTTCCAAGGCCCTTTTTCTCTTGAGGTCCCTCTCCCTCTCCCTTTCTCTCTGTAGCAGGTACTCCTCCTCCAGCATCATCTCGATGGTGTCGGACTCTCTTTGGACAGGCCTGGGGGCACCAGCTGTTGGCCCCAACTCGGACGTCACTGGTCGGCTGGCCGCAGGCCCGATGCTGCTGGAGCTGGGCTCGCCTGTGCGATTTTGTTCTTCCAGGGAGTCGGCCACATACATCAGGTCGGCGTTGCTCATGGGCGGGGGGTTGGGTGGCAGCGGTCGTGGTACAGGTCCATGGCAGACAACCTCGCCGTTGCGATCCACCTCCAGCCGGCTCCCCACAAACACCCTCATGATGTCCCATCGGTCGTCGGCCCATGTCAGAATTTCAGGCGTCACTTCAGCCTCGACCTCGTGGAGCTCAAAAGCAGCCAGCAGAGCCCCCAGCCGGTCGAGCCGACTGAGCCCGAGGCCTTCTTGATGCGGTGGTTTGGCGCGAAAGGCGAACAGTTTCTTGCCCAGGACCACCGCCTTGGAGTGAGCCAGCAAGGGGGTAGACGCCCCCAAATCAGCCTTGAGGTCGAAGAGGTGATGACTATAAAACCAGTCTGTAGAGGTCATTCTCCCGGGCGGCTGGTAGAACACATCGACCTTGGTCTGCACCAGAGAAGACACCTCTTCATGAAGAGGCAGCTCTTGGGGGCACGCTTGCCAGGAGCATCCAAGAGCATAGCTGCGTCGTCACCGCCTCTGTGGTCTCTGACGTGGCGCGCTCTCTCCACCGTATTGACAATCTCCGCCATCATCAGGGCCAGCACGCGGTACAGCCCGTTCATAGCCTCCAGCAGGTCACTATCACTCAGAGTGAGCAGCCCGTCCAGAATATGTCTGTGGACCTCATTGCTCAGGACCCTGACTTCTCCCTTCCATTCCTCAGGCGTGGCCGCGTTGCCCAGGAGTCTCCGCCACAGGCGCAAGTAGTGAAGAGAGCTTGCTGTTTGATCCACCGCCGTAGCTCTCGGCCATGGAGGGTCGCTGCGGGTTTTCAGCAGACTAGCTGCCGGCTCCGGCGGGGGTACGTACTGGACCTCGTCATCTCCCCCTCCTCGTCTGTCGGTGTCGTCCTCGACGGTGACGGGCTCCGCAGAAGTTCTTGACGGCCTCGCCGGAAGTCGGACACGTGACTCGGAGTATTGAATGCACCAGTGGCCGTGCGTCCAGGGTGGAGCGGGCACGAAGGGGAGGGAGCGGCCCCCTCTCGAGGACGAGGATGGCTCCCCTCTTGGCCGGGAGTCCTGGCGCCTGTCCCGCTTGTTGTTGTCCCTCGATCTGGACCTCTTTCTGTCTCTACGTCCATCCCTGTCTTCCCACTGCTTTTGCACAAGCCCGATTTCGTCGCCCTCTTCCATGGTGGCCTCGTCTTGGTCGGGGGACGCGAAGGTATAGTCCAGCAGATTGTCCTTGTGCTTCCACAAGTCCTCACCCTCCAAGATGTGCACCTCGGACAGGTTCCGGAAGTCACCGTCCAGCTTCTCATAGACGGCTCGTCCCTCGTCGCCCTTCTCGTTGCCGTCGGAGAGGTCCACAAGATCCCGGTCCCATCCGCCTGCGCCATCAAAGTCAATGTAGCAGGAGGGCATGTTCCTTCTTTCCACCAGGATGTTCTCGTAGACGCCCTCGGCCAGGTAGTTCACGTTCTCCTTATTGTAGTCCACACCCACGAGGTCGTCCATGGCGGGGTAGTCGAGAAGGACGTTCATGTGCTGCGTCACGCCGTTCTTGTCATGAAGCGGCTCCCTATTCTCCCTCATCCAGGAAGTAGTGTTCGGCTCCCCTTTATCGGGAGTCCAACGCAGCAGGGGGCCAAAGGGGGCATCACATTCACGGTCGCCATGGGGCAGCACCGGCGTATGCGGCGATGCGGGAATGAAGACGTGCACGTTGAATTCGGTCAAGGTCACCAAAACGGCCCTCGCTGCGAGTATGAAAGAGGATGTCGGCATTAGGCCGACCCAAAAGATCGTCCACAAGCCCATGGCGAGTCGACTCTTCGGTTCGATGGGGCCCAAGCTGAAAAGAGCAACTCCGGCACAAGCCGAGCACATGAACTCCAGCAAGCAACGTCACCCTGCCCTATCCAAAAAGGTTTATAGGGTTTAGGGTATAGTATACTTAGGATAAGGTTTAGGATTGGTTTATGATGGGATAATTACGTACAGACCCTGATTTAGATCGGCTGTAGGAATCTTCCCCTTGAAGGCTCGCAGCTCACGAAACGTTGTGTGGCGCAAGGTTCATAGGGTTGAGGGTTTAGGGTTAGACGTTGAGTCAAAGAGGCAGCGGCAATAGTCTCCATAAGGAGGGTGCCACGGCTAACAAGCTAGTCCCCATTTTGGCCGAACCCCTACCTGGTAATCCTTGCAACGCAGGCAGAAACACAACAAAGACAACACAAACACGTCTCAATCCTGCAGAAACGACCAATTCAGGCAAGAAATCTGAATTCTAATCCTTTCAAACTCTTAAAGCCCTTCAACCATAAAACCCCTGAGCCTGAACCCCCTAAACCAGAAGCCTGAATATTCCACTGTTATTTTCCAAGAGAAACAGCAAAATCCTTGCTTGAGCATGTCCAAAATCCTACCGAAGACGTCACCGAGGAGGCCTAGCCTCGGGTTGAGAGTAAAGGGTGAGGGTTTAGGGTTGAGGGTTTAGGGGTTTAGGGGTTTATTTAGGGTTTAGGGTTTCGGGTTTAGGGTTCAGGGTTTAGGGGTTTAGGGTTTAGGCTTCAGAGTTTCAGGTTTAGGCTGAGGGTTTGGGGCTCAGGGTTTCGGGTGGGGCTATAGGGATTACATAGGATTTAGGGGCTATTGCGATTCCATCAGGTGCAGGGCTTAGGGCGTATACTACAAGATTTAGGGTACAATGTGAGTTGAGCATTGTAGGTTGCTGCAGGCTTGAGAGGGAGGGGTATGGAGTCTCACAGGAAGCTCTGGGGGCATAAGCGATTGGAGCAGCTTTCACATCACTGTACATCAATGGTATGCGGGAGCATGGTCATCAGCTTGTTCTCAGATGTTGCCATAAATCTCCTTCTGGCTTGGGGGTTGGCCCCTCATCCCTCAACCCTAAACCCCTTGAGCTGAAAGCCTGCAAGGGGCATGTTGCGACGTGAGCTCGTAACCGAGCCAGAAGATAGATACTATAGTGAACTTGGGACCCTTGTGAAAAAATAGAATTTGGTTGTTCCTTAGGATTATACTAAGCAAAAGGTGAAAGATTTCCGAGTACCCCTAAGGATAGCTGGCGTTTGGGCCTAGGGTCCATAAGGGAGTTTCCCAAAATTATTGGTACCATGTGCGGGGTCCTTAGAACAAGGATTGTATAGTATTTTGGGGGTCTATATTGGGGTCCCCCTATTTTGGGAAAAATATCATATGATGTGAGACAAGATCCCATCCTAAACCCTAAACCCTA